AATGTTTTGTGTATTGTAGTTTCCCAAACTCTTTCTGAGAGAGTATTTTTAAAGAATCTAAACTACCACAATGAAAATTTATCATCACTCCTTATGTGAGAAACAACATTCAGAATTTGGGTTGGTAGTGGTGTTCTATTGATTCATAATTGGATTTCTTGAAGAAAATGGGTTTGAAGTAATATCTAGAGATAGATTTATCTCATAGAATAATCTCAGCATTTCTTTTACCAGCTATGCATTTCGATTATTAGTCTCTCTAAATCTGTTCACCACTAAGGTGGAGTACAACACAACCCTCATGGGTTGTGATCAGGATTAGAAGGGTAATGTTTATGTGTATCATGTTTCCTGGAACTTAATGCTCCAAATGATAGCTGTTTTTAAAAAATAATCAAATACAGAGGATCCAGAGGTTGAACCCAGGCTGTAGTCTAGGTTTAACATTGTTCATGTTTAAACTTTCATTTCATACGGACTTTTTATTATACATCGTTTCTTTGGGCAGAACATAGATGGGGAGAAGGCAGAGCTCAGGATCTTTTAAGCATTTTCATCTGGTCTAGCTATAGTGAGTAGTTCTTAATAGTTTCTAAGTCATATTCTGTTATAGTTCTTAAAATTTTTGAATCCTCTTAAAAGAAATGCGCATGTTCACATTTTGCACAATTTTGGGGAGAGGTCCTGGTACTACTTTTCAAGTCTATTTGTGGAATCCTTATTCAGGAAAAAAAAATTGATTTCAGCACAAAATGATTAGAGAGTTAGTGGTCCTTGTTTAGACAGTTTTAGATCCCCAAGAAAATAAGGTAAGTAAAACACCTTTATTTTTTAGGTTTCTTTTTCTTCTCATACTTTTTCATCAATTTACCTGATTCTAATAGTGGTGATTAAATTATCAGCCATTCCAGAAAATTTTAAGGTCTTCTTAGTGTCCTGATGTCACTTTTAGAACAGTGTGGTGCATTGTCAGTTTATTTAGGTGCATTTTTATGTTAGTATAATAGAGGTGCTCACAGATAATAAGTATTATGTATTTACTGTGTGCCTGTGCATTTTTAACATGGATTAGTTTATCCATATTCCAAAAAGTAGGTTCTACTCTCATACCATTTTGCAAATGGAAAATCTTAGTATTTTGCCCAAAGACACAGTTTTTTGCTTTGGGGGCTTTTTTTTTTGGCATTGGGGATCAAACTCAGTAAGGCAGTGGCACTACTGAGCTAAATCCCCAGCCCCCAAAGACACAGTTTTAAGTGGGAAACTGGATACAAATTCAACTTTATCATTAGTGCTTTAATTTGTTCTCCCTTATAATGGTTAAATGTAAAATTTGTTAGTTCTTTTTGAATAATACTTTCTCTGTACTCCCCAAACTATAGTTATAATTAATATTTCTGTCATTGATATGCCATGTGAAATAAATTCCATAAATCATATGAATCTATTTTCTGAGATTTATTATAATTTAAGGAAGAACTTTTCTGTTAAAGCCATGCTGCTACACTGGCATAGTGGTATAGGCTTGTGTTCCCTGCTACTCCAGAGGGAGGTATAGGAGGATTGCAAATTTGAAGCCAACTTGGGCAACTTAGTAAGGGCCTGTCTAAAAAATAAAAAGGATTGGAGATGTAGCTCAGTGAAAGAGCGCTCCTGGAGTCAGTTCCCAGTGCCAGATACACAAAACAAAGCAAGACAAACAAACCAAAAGGCAAAACAGTGGTGCTGCAACTTGGTAGAAGACATTAAACCAAAAACCACTGTCTTATTTGAGGCTGAGTTTTTCTAAAAGGTTTTCATCTAAAAGAGCCAGAATGGCAAGTAATAGCATTCATTCATTCATTCATTCATTTATTTATTGTGACCAGAAATAAATTATGTAGGTGAATTTATTATGAATATTTATAATACCATTAATACTTCATTATAAATTGTGGTAGATTACAACTTACACCACTTAGCTTAAATCAATGTAAATTGTTTTTCTAACTACATTTTTATATTTGATCTCTTTTTTTTTATTTTGTTTAAAATGGCTAAGTCAGCCTGAGGGTGTAGCTCACTTGCTAAGAATTTCAAGGCCTTCAGTTGGAACGCCAGCACTGAAAAAAGTGTTTAGCCTGGTTAAACAATAAAAGTAGACAAAATGGATTTCAGAGACTTTGAGGTTTTTATTTTATCAGTTTCCTATACTAATTATATACTTTCTTGTACTAAATGTAGGTAAAAAAAGAGGAACTTGAACCAATTTTAATGTAACGCCATTTGTATTTGGAAACAATATTTTAGATACAGTTTTTTGAGCAGGAATACATAACTTAAACATGTTTGGTACCCTTCTAAAAGATTTTTTTAAGGAAAAGTTACAATTAGGGAATTTCAGCTTCTAGAAAATATCTGTGAATTTGGAAGTTAGTTTAAAAAAGAAATCCCTTTTAGGTGACTGACAGCTGTTGTAAAACCTTTAGATACATTATGATATATATCTCTGTATATTTTAAAAAATTTAATAGTCTGCTTTCTTGGTGCAGAAACAAAAGTTTAATAAGAACTAAGACTATACTAAGATACTGTTTTCTGCTAAAGGGACAGGGAAATAGGAATATATTTCAGAAGTATTTGTTCCAAAGCGGTAAAAAGAAATTGATAATTAAATGATGTTTTGTTTACCTGGTGAGCCTGAAAAGATGAGGCATACAGGTGGCTTCTCTTTGTACTAATTAAATAGCATTTAATAGTTATGAATTTTGTTATTGATTGATTGATTTTCATTGGTAATTTTCCTAAGCTGTATGTATGGTCATGATACCAAATCATAGAATTACTATAAATGTGGAACTATTAGATATGACTATGTAGAAAAGCTTCATGATCCATTAAAAATATTTTCTTGTATCTTAGAATCCTGATTCTAGATCAGGAGCAGGGAAAATTGGAGTATAGATAATCAAATGCTAAACAAACAACGTTTTCTAAGTGACTTAAGCTGGAACAAGTTAAGCAACAAAATAAATGATGGTATTTAGTTTCAACTTAAAGAATAAAATAGATGCCTGTGAGTTCTTACTGTGTAATTAAGTGATTACTAAGATGGGGGAGAAGGGACAACACAGAAGAATTCCATATACTGTGTGTAGATTTTACTCCAGGAGGTGGATCTTAATAGTCCTCTGAGTATTAGCTGGACTTAGTGACTATCTTAAAGATGGTTATGTATTTGCCAGGAGGAAAGTGGTGTCAGGCTTTCTAGGCCGAGTATAAGTAAAGGCATTCAGAAAGCGAGACCTAGTGCTGTAGTGTAGAGCTGGAATCAAGGTGGCGCCTTTCCTGTGGAGAAGTGTGTGCTGTGTCATGTTATTTGGACTCTGCCCATGATGCATGACTTTCAGACATTGGAAGACACAAGAAGCACATGGGGTGCTTTCCTATAAAACAGTTTTACAATTTGACACAGACATTGTGGGTCTGTAAATAAATTGAGAAGTACTGTAGATCAGAGAAGTAACAGAAATAGATGTGATTAAAATTGCTGAAGCCAGGGGCAAAGAGTATTTGAAAAAGGATCTTCAGTATTGAAAGCCATAAAAAAGACACTTGAGGAATGATGTTTGGAAATTCATAGATTTCCCATGACTTTGAGTACTTCTGGAAGAATATGTATAGAAAAGCCAGATTTACTTTTCTGTCCTGGGGATTAACTCAAGACCTTCATACTGAGTTCCATCCCTAGCACTTTTTAATTTTTTTTGGTTTACATTTTCATTCTCCTAATAAGATTAATTCTTTGATGAATTACTGAAATATTTTTCTGATGTTTTAATGAGATTATTTTCCTTACTCTTAACTTTGGAGGTTTTAAAAAATATATACAAATATTCTGAAAATATAATTCTTTATTAAATACATCTTGGGCAAAAATGTTTCTCCTAGTCCACAGCATTCTTTTCAGTCTGTATGTATGTGCATGTGTTAATATATGTATTTTTAAAGGCATCTGGCAGAGTTTTGCCTTTTTGTGAACTGTAGTTCATATCCATTCATTCTTTTACAGATCCTGACTTTACTGTTGTGGCTAGGAAATCTTTGCTAAAGGCAAGAAAACACATTTTCTGGCTTTTGTTTTGGTTTGTCTGCTTTTACTTATTAGGAGAATGAAAATGTAAACCAAATCTTAGAATGGCTAGAATTAAAAAAGACTGACTGTACCAACTGGTGAGTTTGGGGGAGTTGGAATATTCACTGCTGGTAGGAATGTAACATGGAGCAATGCATTTATAAAATAATCTGGGAGTTTCTTAAAAACTTTAATATATACTTAGTATGTGTTCCAACCATTCCACTTGTAGGTATTTACCCAGGAGAAAAGGAAATAAATGTTTATATGGAGACACGTGAAAGTAAAATACTAGAAAAGGACCTAAATGTCCATCAACAATGAGTGGACAAACTGTGGTATATAGCTATATAGTGGAATGCTACTCAGCGATGAAAAGGGATACATGCTACAACATGGGTGAATCTCAAGTGATTGTGCTGGATGAAGGAAGCCAGGTCCCCCCAAGATGAATAGATAATGTATGATTGCATTAACGTAAAAAATTAAAACAGGCAGACTATAACAAAGCTGTGGGTAAGGCAGGGAGGGGAGAAAGATTATGTAAGGCCTGAGGAAAATTCGGAACATGCTCACAGTAATGTCTGGGGAAAGTCTGGGTACATACATGGGTCATTGCTTGTCAAATTATATATTTTAAGTATTTGTTCTTTTATAATTCTGTGAAATTGTTTAACAAAAGGAAAACTTTTTGTTTAGATGGAGAGTAGCACAGTTGAAAGACAAAGTGAGACTTTAATATTTACATGTCAGCAGTTAAGTTTCTCCTAATTTTAGGCCTTATATAGTTGTCTCTTTTGTTTTTAAAGTTGAAATTTCAGCGGGCATATGAATGTAAAGATAATAAAAATGAGATCTTCCCCTTTCTTCCCTTCCCCTTCTTAAGGAGCGACAGTTCCTTCAGATTCTTTGTGTTCTTCTTCGTCTATATCTGTCAGTTCGCTGTCCATGTGCTCCAGGCTGCAGGATTTCATAACTGGGGCAATTGGTAAGTCTGTCTACTTAAGCGGCTTGAAATTACTCTAATATTTTCATGTAATTTTTGTTGTCCTAATACATAGAGTTAACACAGAAAAACTAGTTTAGCAGAAGCAAGTAAATAAAAGCCAAAATTGGTTAAAAAAACCAAAAATTTTTTAAAAACAATTTTCTAAGAAACAACCTTTGGAGAAACTATTCTCTTTAAAGATTTTGTTCCTATTTTTTTAGAACAGCATATTATATTTGGTTTAAATAAAGTACATAAATATATATATGTTTTAAGGACATTTAGTTTAAATAAAGTGCACGTAGTGGATATTAAGAGGAAGAATACAAAGTAGACTTAGGAGTAATCACAGAGCTAGGAGGACCAAAAAATTTTGGGAAGAAAATATTATCAAGGATTTGAAAGAAAAGGACACCTGTTGTGTGTAAAGCACTACTTTAGGTATACAAGCACGGTTTTGTTTTTAAATTCGTTTTAAAATTCTTGCTAAGTTTCTAAGTTGCCCAGGTTTGGGCTTGAATTTTTGGTTCTCCTGTGTGAGCCTCCTAAACTGCTGGGATTACAGGTGTGCAGCCCATGCCTCACTCACACACTTGTACTCAGACATATTTGCATGGATATTGGGCTATTATCTTTGCGAGGTTGAGTCATTGAGTACACTCACATGCACCGTTAAACAGTAGGATCACTTGGAGGGCCCTCAGGAGCCCTGGTTAGAAGATAGTGGCAGAGGTCTCTCTTCCTAATCCCCTGATCGAACACTTCTTCTGTGAGGTGTGCTAGGATATGTACTGTCTTCACATGCTGAAATGGAAATGGGCACATGATGCTGTGTGCAGGACTTGTGTTTGGTGTATTGTCTTTGAACTCAACTGGCCTCAGCTGTCACACACCTCTTGGAGTTTTGCAAGCTTCTAATGGGCATAAATACAGAGGGCTTACAGAGATTGTAAATGACTCGTGGAAAAAGTTTTCATTATTGTTTTAAGTAGTGATTCGTCTTTGGCATTTGAGGGAAAGAAAATGCTTTTAATGTTTTAAAAACTTCTTGCTTTAACAGCATAGTCTTTTTAGATTGTGAAATTGAAGTAAATTTCTTTTGCTTTTCTAGTTTAAAACTTAGGTGCAAAATGTCAAAATTGAGCAGAACAGCATGTGACTAGTACTGAAGAGTCTGCTAATGTGGGGTATGTGGGATGGCCTGTTTAAGATAGACCTTGTAATTCGAGTGTTTCAAGTTTTATTATTTATTTTGAGGTAATTGCAGTTGAAAGAGATACGTGTCAAGCATTTCTAGATATGCTCTACACATTCCCCCAATGTGAAATTTTGTAAAATGTCCAAAGAAGGACCTTGACATTGATGGTAAGGCTACCCGACATTGCTGTCACCAGAGGATTCCTTGTGTAACTTTTTCAATAGTCTCCTTCAACTTGCCTGTCCCTCCTCCCTCCTTAGCCTGACAACCCTAATGAGCATTTGGCCACCCTGGTATTGTAAGAGGGTTGTGTAGCTACAGTCAGTCAGGGTGCAGCCTTTGGGTTTTTTCACTCAGCATCATCTCCGGAGAGTCATCCAGGTTGGTACATGTGTCATTGCTTTTCATTCTTGAGGGATAGTTTGTGACTTGAATATACCACAGTCTTTTATGCATTAATCAGCTGAACATCTGGATTGTTTGCAGTTTGCAGCTATTATGAAGAAAGCTGCTATGAGTGTTTATGAGAGGCTTTTCTTGTGAATGTAGTTTTCATTTCTTGAGGATCAGTGTAATCACTTGGGTCATGTGGAAGTTGTATGTATAGTGTAGTTTTTAAAAAAATTTTTTTTTTAAAGAAACTGACAAACTATTTTCCAGAATGGCTTACTGTTTTATATGCTCACTGACAGTTAGGAGTGATTCAACCTTCATATCATTCCCAGCCTTGGTAGTATCAATTTTTTTTATTTTAGCCATTCTGAAAGGTATGCAGTGATAGCTCATTATGTTTGAATTTGTATTTACCTAATGATTCATGATGTTGAACATCTTTTCATGTGCTTATTTGCCATCTTTGTCCTTTAAATGAAATGTCTCATGTCTTTTGCGTATTTTGCAGATGCATTTTTGTAAGGTTGAGCTGTAACAGTTTTTGTATTCTAGAAATGAATCCTTTATTGCATATGTGGTTTGCAAATATTTCCTTCCATAATTCACCAAAATTTAAAATGAATATTTAAAAATGTAATAACGAACACACAGGCTTAAATAATATGAAAATATGATGAAAACGTTTGAAGTTTGGGAGTTTTGTTTGCTTTTGAATTCAGACCCTGCCATTTATCAGCTCTGTATCTTTGGGCCTGAATGTTTCTGTGACCCAGTTCCTCATCTGTAAAATAGGGATTTAAGATAGCATCTGTCTTACAGAGTGGTTGTGAGAAGTAAATGAGTTAGTGCATAGAAAGGCCTTGGATGTTGCTTGGTTCAGAAATGCTGAGGATGAGTTAGGCATTATGTTATTCTTCTAAAGTGTGCATTGACTTGCTTGCTTAGTTACATTTTTCTTTTTTTAAATTTTTTTATTTTGTAGTGGTTGGATTTCATCCCTTACTGGTCTTAACCAAAATATTCCTGTTGGAATCATGATGATAATCATAGCAGCACTTTTCACAGCATCAGCAGTCATCTCACTAGTTATGTTTAAAAAAGTAAGTGAAATTTTATGGCTATAAATAAACCTGATATAATTCACATTTTCCCATTTCAGTATTAACTCAGAGTAACCTCAAGCCATTTTTCTGTTTTCATGCAAGCTTGCTCTTTGCGATTACTTTTTACAATTAAAAGTTATGTATAGCTGTATTTTAGGAAATGGTATCACATTTGGGAAATACTTCTCAAAAAAGGAAATACAGGTTGGACATCCCTAATCTGAAAATCTGAAATGAAATGATCCAAAACCTGAAACTTTTGAGCCCTGACATGATCCCACAAGTAAAAAGTGCTGCATCTGTCCTCACATGACAAGTTGTAAGTGCAGACACATTAGAAATATTGTATATAATTACTCTTGGGCTATGTGCATAGGTTGTGTATGAAAAATAAATGAATTTCATGTTTAGACTTGGCCCCATACTCTCTAGCCCTCATACTTCATTATGTATACACAAGTATTTTGAAATCTGAAACATATTTGATCCCAAACATTTAGGATAAGGGTACTCAACCTGTATTTTTAAATCTTGAAGTCTTCTTTTACAAATTGAAGATTCAAAGTCATTTTAAAAATTTGGATTTTTTATATACTGCAATTTATTTTTTAATATAAAAGCATATTGACCTGATTTGTAAATGGAAGTAAAGGTAGTGTATAAGATGTGTATTTCATTTATATTTAAAATATGAAGACACTAAATTATCTAAGGCTCTAAAATGAGCTGGTGGGAAGTACAAAGCTGGGTTGTGCCATAATTTTTTTTAGTAACTGCCTATTAGCTACCCTTTTTCTTATAGAATTAACATGTCTGCTTTTTAAAGTCTTAACTAAGAATCATTACATAAGGTAGAGGATATTTAAATCCTTTGTTTATTTAGGTTTTTTCCTTGTGTCTTGGATATATATTTGATATTCTACATGTGTTCAAACATGATATAGAGACTCTGAAAATAACACCTATGTTTTAGAATGATAGAGCCATTTTGGTGGGTCCTACTCTAAAAAAGTTTTCTTCCATTTCTTTGAATTATTACTGTCTGGTAATATATACAAAGAATGCATATAGAAATAATTGTATTTAAGATTACTTTGCACTCTTGAAATACTTGACTTGTACATTTTCCTTTTATTCTTCTCAAAACCCTGTGAAGGCTAGGCTATGTTTTTCCTGTTCACGTTTTGCTACCTATTCTCTTTTAGAAGGTTTTACTTTTCTGCATTGAATGTGTTTGCCATTGAAATGGAGCTTTCTGAAGTTACTAAGTCCTATAGCAGTGATGGTGAACCTTTTAGAGCTTTCAGTGATACAAACAGTGTACTGTATAGCACATGTACCCATAGGTTTGCCGCCACTGTCCTGTAACTTTTTTTTTCTTTCCCCTCCTCCTCTTTGATAACTGCTGCCTTCTGTATCATAGATCAGCCCTCTTTCTGGGCATTTATAATTGTGTTTCTCCTCCATTATTTTACCCACCTTATGAATGCAGTCAGCACTCTCTCCTCTGTGCTATGTCCCCTTTTCTTTGGGAATTTCATTCTCTCTCATTGTTTTACTGTCTATCTGGACGACCTAAATCTTGGAGGAGATGAGAGAGTTGGAAGTTTCAGAATTTGGATTTTTGGATTAGCAGTGTTCCAACTTACCTTTTCTTGGACAGTTGGAAATGTGGGACAGTTTCCTGCACTTCCATTGCATCTTCAGCTGAGCTTTTCCATCTCCGTTGGTGGTTTCACTGTCTACAGGGAGGTATCACCAAGGTCTCACTTGTCCCCTCAGCATCGGCTCTCCTCCATCCAGATGTTCTGATTCAGAGTCAGGAAATAATTAAGATCACAGATTATGTGATTCCATAAAAGTCCAAAATACATAAATCAATAGAGCTATAAAAAAACTTCTGGATTAGCTAAGGTTGGAAATAGGAAGGAAAAGAAAGATGGAAAAGATACTAAGCAGATATGTAAGAAAAATAATGAAAAAAATAATTAAATTAGAAGTAATGGAAGCACCAACAGAACCAGTTACAGCACTGACATAAATGTGAAATGGAATCACAAAAAGTGCTTCACAGAACCTCATTCATGGGAGATACTCACTTGATGTTTCCCTCTTAACAGCTTCCCTGTTTTGAGATATGGTTTATACTATACAATTTACCCTTTGAAAATGTGCAATTTAATGGGTTTATTCCTAGAGATGTGAATGTAATATCTATATACCCTAATTTCAGAACCCCCAAAATAAATTCCATATGATTAGCAGTTGTATCCCATCTCTCAGCAAACACTACTCTGCTTTCTAGCTCTGTTGAATCATTCAGCCATTGGCACAGTTTTAAAGAACAGGGAGGGACAAGATCATAGAACATGTGAAGTCTGTGTGCCAACAAAGTCAACAATAATATTGAAAAACCATGGTATAGTGACAGAGGAGATGGAGAAACTTCTCATTGTATGGATGCAGGACCCACAGCAGCATCGAGTTCCACTCAGTTTAATGTTTATTGGCTAAAACAGGCTAAAAGCCTGTTTGACTACTTGAACAAAACAACAGGGTAAATAGGGTGCATCTTTCACCAAGACTAACTTTGTCAGACCTGTGATTGAATCCAACTTATGAATGTTCTCACAGAATGGAACTCATTCACAAGTTGGGGATAGGATAAGTAGCTACCAGGTAGTGGGGATAGTAGTTCATATCTACTTTTAGGATATAACATGGCACATTCAAGGAATTAAAAATAGTTCAGAATGGATGGCAAAGAAAATTGGTGCATAGGCTTGGGCAAGGAAAATGTGGGTGTTGGTGGTACAGGGTAGAGGGATGGATTGAAATAAAATGTGTATGTAATTATATTCTGCAGCATCTTGTAATCTAGGAGACCTTTTGTTAAGAGGTTTGAATCTTCCCTCGAAAGCAGTGGTGAGCTGTAGAAGAGGTTTAAGAAAGAGAGTGATGATCTGATTTGAATTTTAGAAGCATCATTCTGAAGTAGATGCGGGATGTGGGCAGGATTGTAGTATCTGGAAAAGCTGCAGCTGGGAGGCAGCTAGGAGGCTAGTTGTAATGACGGTGTCTTGAATGATGCATAGTTAAGAGAAAAATGAGCAGGTAATCATTAATTTGACTTGGGCTTATAAATAGGGGGCAAGAGAAGACTGAAGAATGATACACGGATTTTTAGATCATAGGCCATTCAGGAATAGAGAGTACAAAAAGAGTACAAAGTGGTTTCAGCCTTTTAATGTGAGGGGTTTGAAATACTAGTGGGATGCTAATGTAAAGTTTTTGGCAGCCTTTGGGATTGCATAGGAACAAGGAAGGAACTGTAGGCTGGCTTTTCAAACAGGGAAGTGTGGACTTGCAGAAGTTTAGAAAGTACAGTAGTGTAAAGATGGGGAGGGCAGAACACTCCATAGGCATCTCCTGTGGGAAGAGTTGGGCTAAGGGGTAACCAGCAGCAGTGGCAGGGGAATCCGTAGTGCATGTGATGCCTGGCGGAGATGCTTTCCTGCAGCCCCTGGGGACTGTTGTGAACAGGGCTCTGAGTCCCTTCTGTGTTTCATGTACACAATTTTTTAGGCTCTGTCCCATGAGAGGAAAAGTTGTAGAGCTGTGTTCATGTTCATGTGCCAAGCAATCTGAAGAAATGTAACCATTTCCCAAATAAGATAAAAGTTTTGATATTGAAATACAGAGTGTTCTCTTGACACCTCACCTCATAGTTAAAGGAGTTATTAGTTACTTCTTTGCATGTTGACTGTTGATGCTGTGCAAGTTGCTAAACTTCCCTTATCTCACATTCTTTCCCTGTAAAATCAGGAATGTAGGTGATTTTCTGCACAATTCTGTGAAGTCCGATAAATGGACTTCTCTGGTTGCTGAGACAAAATACCCAATACACACAAATTGAGGGTTGAGAGGTTTATTTGGCTCACAGTTTGCAAGAGGTTTCACTCCATAGTTGGCTGGCTCCAAGGCAGGGTGGCATGGCAGCGGGGCATCACAGAGGAGAAACAATACATGGTGAGCGGAACATAGCAAAAGCAAGCAAGGGACAAGACAAGCCTCTTTCTGTCCTTTGTATTGTATCCAGGCTACCTGGATTAGGACTGAATTAGCAATCACCCACCTTTAATCCTAGCATCCTTAATCCTAGTATTGTACCATGAATCAGTCCACACTCTGGGTCCAGCCATTTCTGAAAGAGCCCCCACCTTCAACTGCATGAGGCTTTGCAGGACATCTAGACATAGGCCATAACTGGGATGCTAATAAGCTGAACAGTCTGTTAGGTCTGGAGTGTTCTCCCTCAGCTTCCTCCCACTTCAGGCATCCACATGCTTTCTGGACTTCTCTGACTCTGCTTTCATATTTTAATGAGAGGCGCACTTCTCTTACTGTGACAAATTGAGATCCAAGAAAACAAGGGATTTTTCTTTTTTCTTTTTCTTTTCCATACTCACTCAAAACTGGCTCATTAATACAACAAAGATCTTTTGGAGTCTGTAGCCATAGTTTACAACCACTAGGGGTCAGGATCTTCATGAACAGTTAATGCCCTTTATTTGCACAGTATTTGCCCATAGAATTCTTCAATTTTATTAGGCTGTTCTCTCTAGCCCCAGAGGAACCTACTTTGTAGAATATATTTATTTTAATGGAAATGAAATAAAATATTGAGAATTTTGTTGTCATTCTGAAGACTTGCCATTGCTGTAGAGTCCCCATATGTCTTCAGCTCTTCCTTAGTGTTGTTTTATAATCCAAACTTTAGTATTGAAAGAATGCTCATAGACCTCTTAAACATCTTCTTCATAGACAAGGAGCAGTTGAATCCTTATTTTTTCAAAGGTAGCCCCCCCAATTATTTCTAATTGTAATTTTCAAAGCCCTTATTTGTATAGTAAACTTAGATAGAATTGGATGACAGTGTAGGGCCATGGAGAAAGATACCATAAATGGGTCAACTGATGAATGAATTATGAGAGACT